GAGAAGGGGATTGGGGCAAAGAATAAGCATGCCTGTTTTGAAAAAGATCGGTCAATATTTAGCGGGTCAAATGGACCTTGACTTTTGAGTGAAAAATTACAAAATGTGTATTCTAGATAACAAGCAACGGCTCTGATTGGCTTTAACATGGCGAAGCCCAGGCTTATCTTGGTCCCTCTTTCATTTCAATTGTGGACACTGACCTCCACGCGGTGCCACCTGGGGAGCTATTTTCATCACCCGATGAAATAGTGAGCTAATATGTGCCGCGAGTTCAAAAAAAAAAAAAAAATAGCTTGAGGCGTCGGGTTAGTTGCCCAGTCTCGGAAAATCCAACCTACTATGAAAAAGCAAAGAAAAAGAAAACCAAACCCCAATAATGTTGATGACCCCCGCAAACGTATAAAGGACCGCGATCTGCTAATCTGCACTTGGAATGTGCGCACGTTTTACAGAACAGGACCAGGCTTCGCTTTGGCGGATGTACTCGAGAAATACAGGGTTGCCCATATTCGACGGACCCATGTTTTTTTTTTTTTAAATCAAAGAAAAAAAAAATAAAAATTTGGCGGTTGGCAATGTTAATCATTTAATTTGTTCCAAGTAGATTTGTTTACATCAATTTTTGAATATGATATCTCCCAAATTGTTAACGTAAAACTTTGACTTCAAATATCCCCACAAGAAGAAGTCAGGCGGCGTCAAATCGGGCGAACGCGGTGGCCAGTCCAAATCACCACTTTTCGACATCAAACGACCTGGAAACAAATTCTTCAGAAAATCGATTGTTATGCGACTTGTGTGCGGTGGAGCGCCGTCTTGTTGAAACCAGAACTGCCTCATACGCTTTCGACGAATAATTGGCATCACAAAATTGGTCATCATGTCGCGATAACGCTCCTGATTGATGGTAACAGCATGACCATTTTCATTTTGAAAGAAAAACGGCCCAATGACCGTTTTTGCACTAACGCCGCACCAAACTGTGACTTTTTCGTCATGAAGAGGCACTTCTTGAATCTCCTGAGGATTTTCAGTGGCGTAAAAAGGCAATTTTGCTTATTTACGGTCCCATTCAATGTGAAATGGGCTTCATCGGACATGATCATTTTGTTCCAAAATTGCTCGTCATCTTCGGCCATTTCGATGACTCTTTGGGTCCATTCCAATCGACGAGGCTTGTCCGCAGGCAACATTCTTTGCGTCAATTGAATTTTGTACGGGAACAAATGCAAATCAATGCGAATAAGCCGTTGTAAAGTTAACCAAGCCATGTCCAACTGCTGAGAACGGCGTTTTTGGGATGTTCTTGGGGACCTCTCAACACTGGCTCGTACGGCAGCGATATTCTCGGCCGATCACCTTGGTCGACTTTTATATAGCTTCTTCGGATTATAAAGAGCCTTACCAGTCGAACATTTTTCGTATAAACGCTTAATGGTGTTCTTAGAAGGCGCACTTCTCACATTTTTTAATGTTTTAAAAGCACGTTGAGTTTTCACAATTGACTTCTTCTGTTGAATGTAAATTTCAATTATTTCAGAGCGCTCGCGTGGCGTGTATTGGTTCATAGTAAAAATCTGCTTGGACTGACGCTTCAAACGCGGTATGTCATTAAGCGATGTGACATCTCTGTCAAAAGTTATGGCATTGCCAGATGGGTCCGTCGAATATGGGCAACCCTGTACAAAGCCGATATTATTGCCTTAAGGAAATACGATGGAAAGAGACTGGCGTAAGTAAATCAGATGATTACGCCCTGTATAATAGCTGCCATGAAACGAAACATAAATTTGGCTGCGGATTTATGGTTAACAGGAGAATAAAGACCACGTCTCAAGATTCATTCCAGTAGATGAGCAAATTGCTATAATTCGTATAAAAGCGAAGTTCTTCTACATCAGTCTCATTTGCGCCCATGCTCCGACCGACCGAAGATAAAAATGAACAGAGCGAAGACATATTTTACGAGCGCCTAGAAACAGCGTATGATCGTTGCCCTGGCCATGACATTAAAATTCTGCTAGGAGATTTTAATGCACAAAGCGGAAGGGAAAATATATTTGGCCCCACCGTCAGAAAATTCAGCCTCCATGTCTGACGTTTCAGACAAAGGCATGAGGTTGATTGACTTCGCGGCAGCATGGTAGTTAGCAGCACCAGATTCAAGCATCTCGATATACACAAGGCCACTTGGATTTATCCCGATCGAACAACGAGAAATCAAATCGATCATTTTGTGATAGACGGAAGGCATTCATCCAGTGTTTTAGTCTTAATGTAGCAACAAAGGTGCGATCTAATGTAACAGGAAATTTGACGTCGAAAAGCTGCAAACACAACAGATAGCAGAAGCCTACTCCGCTCAACTTACCCAACTGCTTGACGAAAGCACCCCATGTCCCGATAATAATATACAAGCACAACGGCAGAGAATAGCCCACTACCTGCAAAAAAACACTTGGGTACCAAAGACCACCATCAAGAAATCCGTGGTACGATTAGGAATGTCGTAATGCTACTGTTATGAAAAACGCAGCGTATAGGGCAACCCTGCGGACAGTAGCAACACGTAATAAGATAGAGAATTAACGGGAGAAAAGGAGAGAGGAGAAAAGTGTTTTCAGAAAAAAAGAAGAAAGAACGAGAATAACGTGAGCGTGAGCAAATCGAGATGTACAGGAGTCAGAATGAAGTCTGAAAATTCTACCAACGGCTAAAACACCAAAATAGAGATAAAGAAGGAAACCTGTTGACGGATGCAGACAGCGTGCTGAGGATCTGGAAGGAGCATTTTGAAAAACTTCAGGTATCAAACAGTAGCAGTGAAGTGGATACCCCAGAACCAATAATAGATGACGGTATAGAGTGTATACCACCTAGCCAAAATTAAGTCAAAATATCAATCAATCGGCTGAAGAACAATAAAGCAGCTGGTGCCGATGGGTTACAAGCCGAACTATTCAAGACTGGTGGTCAGATGCTGGTAAGGAGCATACACCAGCTGATTAGTACAATTTGGCTAGAGGAAAGCATGCCCAATGATTCGAACCTCAACATTCTGTGTCCCGTGCACAAAAAGGAGACAAGACGATATGTGCCAACTATAGAGGAATAAGTCTCCTTCGCATCGCATATAAAGTGCTATCCAGCGTACTGTGTGAACGACTGAAGCCAATGGTCAATGACATAATTGAACCATAGCAATGTGGCTTCAGACCTGGCAAATCCACCAATGACCAGATTTTCACTCTGCGCCAAATACTGGAAAAGACCAACGAAAAACACATCGACACATTCCACCTATTCGTCGAATATAAAGCCGTATTCGACAGCCCTATCCGTTCAGAGGGGTATGAACTATGAGTTGTACCGGCTATTCTCGGACATCGACATTGTTAGACGTGTTGAGCTGCAGCGACTACGTTAGCTAGGTCATGTTGTGAGAATGGATGAGGATGCACCAGCCCAGAAGGCATATAAAAGCGAACCAGCTGATGGTTCACGCAGAAGGGGGAAGGCCAAGAATACGTTGGAAAGATCAAATCGAAGACAACATCGCCGAAAATGGTCTTTCAAATTGGAAAAACTGCCCAAGAGACCGACGCGCCTGGAAATCTTTTCTAATCTCGGCTTATGGAACGAAAGTTCAGTGACAAGCCAGCTAAGTAAGTAAGTATTCTACAGCGTGTATATTTACCCCTGAAAGATATAGACTCGAGAAGTTGATAGCATATCCAAGAGTGATTGACCTGTAAACTGATACCAATTACATTGTCGTATGTACTCGGATGTGGGAGTTACACTTAAATATTTACAGGTGCTTACGTATTTTTAGTAAGCCATTACCACACGAGAGGGGGGTGGGGAATATAGCGCTGATCCCTTTGAAATTTTCCATGAGGGTCCAGGTATGGTCAAGGACAACGCCTTCGGCGATGATCAGATAATAATATTGACATGTAGTCGACCGAAAATTTACTTTTCGTGTTTTTTAGTCGATATATAAGCCACAATACAAAGCCGAACATCACAACGCAACCCACGGGGAAGGAAGTATAGTCAAGTAATTAGAAGGGCTGTATGGAATATTAGTAATAGTTGGCGACCTTTAGTCGGTCAATAAGATGCAAATATAGCGAAATATTTTCCATGCTTTGAATATAGAACTACAGAAAGTTAGAATTTCGTGGAAGTTGTATAGGGTATCATATGGTCAGCCCCGTTCGATTCGTTCGTGGGGTTCTTCAAATTATTTTTTCAGGGACTACCATTAGGCGTGGATTTCTTCAAATTATTTTTTTAGGGACTATCATTAGGCGTGGATTTCTTCAAATTATTTTTTCAGGGACTATCTTAGGCGTGGGGTTCTTCAAATTATTTTTTCTGGGACTACCAATAGGCGTGGGGTTCTTCAAATTATTTTTTCAGGGACGTGGATTTTTCAAATTATTTTTTTAGGGACTATCATTAGGCGTGGATTTCTTCAAATTATTTTTTCAGGGACTATCTTAGGCGTGGGGTTCTTCAAATTATTTTTTCTGGGACTACCAATAGGCGTGGGGTTCTTCAAATTATTTTTTCAGGGACGTGGATTTTTTTAGGCGTGGATTTCTTCAAATTATTTTTTCAGGGAATACCATTAGGCGTGGGGTTCTTCGAATTATTTTTTCAGGGACTACCATTAGGCGTGGATTTCTTCAAATTATTTTTTCAGGGACTACCATTAGGCGTGGACTATCATTAGGACTATCATTGGACCTTCAATTGTCAGAAGACTTCCTAGAGATGTTTTCAAGTCCGAAACCTCTTACAGGTTTCCTGTAGTCAGAAGTTTGTCTTATATAGTTTGAAGACCTCTTACAGGTCTTTTGTAGACACAATAACTTTTACCGATATTCTGCTCTGTTCTTGTATAGACACGGGGCTTTTATTATTTTCAAAGATTGGATACATTAAATATATATATATATATATTATAAAAATATAATTATAAAAAAACGTACCTTATGTTTACGCCTTAATAGATGTGGAGCCCCACCCGGGGGCTGTAGCGGCACAGCCGGTTCTGGTGTAACAGTCTGTACCGGACGCGGTGGTTTCAATGCCAATTTCTTTAGACTGGCAATACGTTTATCACACATCAATGAGACATCGTCAATTCTTTGGAGAACCTAAAAGAAAAAAAAGAAACAGAAAACAAATGGATAAGCTTTTAGAGGTCGGAATGTGGACTATTCAATTTCATGTGGAACAATAATAGTAATAAAACAATAAAACAGCGACGACAACAATAAAATTATAACAATACTGAACAAAATCTGTTTTCATTTTATTGTTGGTCATGGCCAGAAGAATAAAAACAAAATCACAAAAACAACTGCTTGAGATTCTGGAGAAAGTGTCATAAAATAGCATTTTTTTTTGGGAATCAGAATTGTTGACATAGCATGGAGATGGAGAGAAGAGAAGTTTGGTTACATGTGGGCATACACATAAGCATAAAGAATAAATATATGTTTTAAGTGGATTATTTGTAGTTGGTTGTCTTGTAACTTTCATGGCCTAGAATTGGGCTATCAGAACAGAAAATGAAAACATTTGGAAACCGAAACAAAAAAAAAAAAACACTTTTAGCAATAATTTCTTTCTAAGAAATTCAATTCGAGTTGTGTTTTTTCTTTCGTACCGAAGATCCACAACGATGACGACGACTATGTAGAACAACTGTGGCTTTTGTTTTCAATGACGGAACAAGGCATACTGCTGTCTGTCTGTCTGCTTTGTCGGCCCAATTGAATAGAGGGAGGAGGGTTTTTGAGATTTGTGGCAGCCGTTTTATAGAAAACAAAGCTTAGCCTTTTATTTATGACTAAGTGTGGCATTTGTTTTGATTCAAATTCGAAAGTGCTGGCTATGGGCCTAGATTCCATTTGAAAAAAATTATAACTGATGGATTTATAAACTAATTAATTACAAATGTGTATCTGCAGCATTAAAAGATTTCAGACGCATATGAAGATCTACACAAAAGAATTATGCATCAGTGCAATAGGGTCTACAAGAGAACAGTGGGACAAAATAATATTTACGTTTTTTAATGAACAACAGGCGTGGATTTTTTAAACTATTTTTGCAGGGACTTGCATTAGGCGTGGATTTTTTAAAAATATTTTAGGCAATTCCTTTAAGCATGGATTTTCCAAAAATATTTTAGGCAATTCCTTTAAGCATGGATTTTCCAAAAATATTTTTTCAAAGCCTACCATTAGATTTTCCTAAAATATTTTTTATGGACTACCATTAGGCGTGGATTTTTTAAAAATATATTTTCAAAGACTACCATTAGGCGTGGATTTTTTAAAGATATATTTTTATGGACTACCATTAGGCGTGGATTTTTTAAAGATATATTTTTATGGACTACCATTAGGCGTGGATTTTTTAAAGATATATTTTTATGGACTACCATTAGGCGTGGATTTTTTAAAGATATATTTTTATGGACTACCATTAGGCGTGGATTTTTTAAAGATATATTTTTATGGACTACCACTAGGCGTGGATTTTTTTAAAATATATTTTTTATGGATATATTTATATTTTTATGGACTACCACTAGGCGTGGATTTTTTTAAGATATATTGTTATGGACTACCATTAGGCGTGGATTTTTTAAAAATATATTTTCAAAGACTACCCTAAGGCGTGGATTTTTTAAAAATATATTTTCAAAGACTACCCTAAGGCGTGGATTTTTTAAAGATATATTTTTGTGGACTACCATTAGGCGTTGATTTTTTTAAAACATATTCCCCTGTGGACTACCTTTAGGCGTTGATTTTTTTAAAACATATTCCCCTGTGGACTACCTTTAGGCGTGGATTTTTTTACCATACCACTGTTTCAAACCATAAACAGGAGAATACAAACAATTGTATTGTGCGTCTAATATTCATTGCACATGCGTCGAACCAGGCAAACCGTCGAACCTCCTCCATAGAAAGTAAACAGAAAATGTATAATTGCTTTCGAATGATTTTTAATTTCATTTGCGCTCTTTTTCGCTTGGCATGCAAACGCTGTAGTTTGTTAGTACCGCCATCAAAATAATCGCGATGATGATTATTGCCGAAAACTGGCATTGCATTCCCGCCAAAAAAAAAAACAAATAACGAATCGAAACAATGGTAGTCTTTTATTGTTGGCATGAATGCATGTTCGTTGATCTGTCACATCGTCGACGGTCATAAATACGCACCACCAGTAATTAATCACCGGGCAATGATTGTTAATAGCCGATAGCAGGCAACCGAACGTTAGCTTCCATTGCCATCCGCAATCATAAATGCGTTGCTAATGTGTGGCATGTCGTTCTCATAAAACTATCGAAAAATAAAAAAAAGAGTTCCAAGAAACTTTTGATTTCAACATCATTATTAACGTCGTCGAATGCAGTTGGATTTTTTCGTTCGTTCGTTTGCTCGTTCATTTGAACGATGACAGCCGTAAAGAGTTTTAATTCAATTGCCTCATAAGCATAAAGATGAAAAATGTTTCGATAGAGAAATTTTGCTGTCGACTGGCAGCAGTTTATAAAGGAAAATCATTTTAAATAATCATTAAATGTTTTTTAAAAAGTCGAGCACTGGAAAAACCTCTGAAATTATTTTTTAAAAAGTCGAGCCCTGGAAAACCCTGTGAAAATATGTTTTAAAAAGTCGAGCCCTGGAAAAACCTCTGAAATTTTTTTTAGAAATCCACGCCTTTTGATAGGCCCATACAAATATATTTTTTTAGAAATCCACGCCTTTTGATAGACCCATACAAATATATATTTTTTTTAGAAATCCACGCCTTTTTATAGACCCATACAAATATATTTTTTTAGAAATCCACGCCTTTTTATAGACCCATACAAATATATTTTTTTAGAAATCCACGCCTTTTTATAGACCCATACAAATATATTTTTTTTAGAAATCCACGCCTTTTGATAGACACTTACAATTATTCTTTAAAAAATACACGGTTTTGATAGACCCTTACAAATATTCTTTAAAAAATCCACGCCTTTTGATAGACCCTTAAAAATATACTTTTAAAAATCCACGCCTTTTGATAGACCCTTAAAAATATACTTTTAAAAATCCACGCCTTTGGATAGACCCTTAAATATATACTTTTAAAAAATCCACGCCTTTTGATAGACCTTTACAAATATTAATTTAAAAATCCACGCCTAGAATAGACACCAAAAATATTAATTTAAAAATCCACGCCTAGAATAGACCCCAAAAATATTAATTTAAAAATCCACGCCTAGAAGTAGACACCAAAAATTTTAATTTAAAAATCCACGCCTAGAAGTAGACCCCAAAAATATTAATTTAAAAATCCACGCCTAGAAGTGGACCCCAAAAATATTAATTTAAAAATCCACGCCTAGAAGTGGACCCCAAAAATATTAATTTAAAAATCCACGCCTAGAAGTAGACCCCAAAAATATTAATTTAAAAATACACGCCTAGAAGTAGACCCCAAAAATATTAATGTAAAAATCCACTCCTAGAAGTAGACCCCAAAAATATTAATTTAATAATCTACGCTAAGAAGTAGACCCCAAAAATATTAATTTAAAAATCCACGCCTAGAATAGACACCAAAAATATTAATTTAAAAATCTACGCCTAGAAGTAGACCCTAAAAATATTAATTTAAAAATCCACGCCTAGAAGTAGACCCCAAAAATATTAATTTAAAAATCCACGCCTAGAAGTAGACCCCAAAAATGTATTTTTCAAAAATCCATGCCTGGAAATAGACCCCAAAAATATTAATTTAAGAATCCACGCCTAAAAGAAGTCCCCAACAAATTTAATTAAAAGAGTAAAAAATTCACTCCTTTTGAAAAAATTGAAAATTTTTTCAATAACAAAAATTTTTATAGAAAATATTATGAATAACAATAATTTTCCGACGAAATGAAAAAAAATTGAATGACGTCCAGACCACTCGTTTGAATATCTCCTACAACTCCTAACAAGCCATAATCCCCCACACAAATTGAAATCAATCATCATTTACACCTCCATCATCAGCAGAAGTCGCCACAACTTCAGATGCCAACTAGAAAATAATTAAATTCACATTTTGTTTGAAAAAAAAAAACTGAAACTGAAAAGTTTCACTCTTTTTTACCCAAAACCAAAAAATATTCGAAGAAGATAAGTCATTTAAATAAATTTGTGAATTGCATTAAAAAAAAAAAAAATAACTCCGCAGAGGACCAAGTCTGGCCAATTGTATTGACCATGAAAACAAAAAGTGGAAACATTTGGCATAATGTTATTGTTGTTGTTGTTGTTTGGGAGGCATCTTCAATGCCAAACAAAATACAAGTTGCAACTTCGGCCAGCACCAAGGCATTGCAACAGATTGCCAATTGGCATTGTTGGTTTTGTTGTTGCTATTGTATGGTGCAATCTGATGATGAGTTTTCCTTGATTTATGACGCTGGCAGTCGACTTGGTGTAGTGGCTATTGGTGCTTCTTTAAGTTTGGGTTGAATACGATAAAATGATGCGCATTATTGTGGTGATGGAGACAGTGGTTATATGTGGACATATTTTAAGGGTATACCACTACAAATAATTTTGACGCCTTCTTTTAGGCGTGAATTGTTTAAGGGAACCCCCCCCATTCCGATTTGAATTTTTTAAGATTTTCAATGGGCTGGTAAATCAATACCAATGCTTGTTAAGGTTTGTAACTTTGCACATATATAATTGAAGATTTAAAAAAGAAGAAAAATAATTTACAAAAAATTTTTGTTATTGTTTTGTTGTTGTTTTTTGTAATTAAAGAAAAGTCCTTATTTTTGATGGCGGGCATGATAACTCCTCACTGGAACATCGGAATCCGAAAATTCCAACGGTGTTAGAAAGAGTACATGTCTGGCTCTCGTATGAACTAGGATTATTGACTTCGCTCTAAAATTAACAAAATGGTGGACCTTTGAAAAAATATTTTTGGAAAATCGCCGATTTTTGACCAAAAACCAAATTAAAAAATAAGGAAGATCTTCACCGATTGGCTTTATCCTAGTTCATACGAGAGCTATACACTCCCAGAGAAACGATGCAAAATTTGGAACCGATTGGATTATTAGTTT